CAGTCTACAAATAGTTGAACTTGAACTGGGCACAGATTTGTGTTCTGAAAGGCTAATGCAGAATTATGCACCATACTGCACATATCAGAAACAGATTTTCTGCTATGCTGCTACCCGTCCTGACTTCTGCTGACATAGAGTTGATTTTCTTCCCCATAGCTAGTGCAGTGCTGGGTTTTGGATTCAGTAGAATAATGTTGATAACACACTGATGTTAGCAGTGCTTACTCTTAAGTCAAAGAATTTTTGGTTTCCCAGGCTCTGCCAGCAAGGTGTGCAAGAAGCCAGGAGGGAGCACGGCTGGGACAGCAGACCCAAACTGGCCAAAGGGATAATCCACACCACAGAGCATCAGACTCAGGCTGGGCACTAGTCTGTGGTTTTACTGTCTCATCCTTAACTACAACTAAAATCATACTGTAGTATTTTATTTCAATTATTAAACTGTTCTTATCTCAACCCATAGGTTTCATCTTTTTTTCTGGTTCTCCTGCCCAGCCCACTGCAAGGGGAAGCAAAGTGTGAGGGGTGACCAAGCAGCTGCATGGTACTTAGCTGCCAGGTGGGGTTAAACCACAACACCACCATAACTATCAAACTTTCCCAGGCATTTGGTACGTAACTGGACAAGAATCTCATTAATTTAGGATTCCTCTCATCATGAGTAACAAAAGTTTTATTTCAAAAATTTATTTTAAAGTGTGAAAACTGTCATACTTTTATTCTCAGGTGCCATCTTTCTTTTTTCCAAGAAAAACCAAGTCAAGGTAACTCAACATACATTTTAAACAACTTTTCTGTTCAAAATAAAGGCTACTAAAAAATCAGAGTGCACAGCTCAGTTCTTAAGACTCCATTTTTTTCCACAACCACATCATAACTACATTAAAACCATAGATAGAACATTACCCCTTTGAAAAATAAAGTGTTTAAAATTATATGAGTTTTCATTGTTTGAGTAAAACCATGCTTATGTTGAAGATTCCTATTTAGCCTGCAGATCTCCACAACTTGCAACCATTAAACATCATTATTAATACTTCATGAAACTTTGTCTTCAAGTTAATTTTTGGAAGTATTTTATTATTTTGTGTATGAGCAGTGACTGTCTTCCGGGTTTTTTTGTATTTATTTGGTTTGTTGTGGTTCGGGCTTTTTCCTATCTCTTGAAGCAGTTTGGAAATACCCAGCATTTCAGTGCTTGTTGATATTAGGTGTTTATAAAAAGCAATCATTATCTCACAGAGAAGTATTTTATAACTGAAGTGGCATGGACTCCTCCCTAATCTGTGCAACAAGTTTGAGAACAGCATAAAATAAGGGATTTCGCAAGACCCACAAAAAGCTTTCTTTTTGAAAGAAATAGCTCAAGAAAAAAGTTTTTTTTCAATTAGAAAGTTGATTAATAACCTTTCCAATATTATGAAATTTAGAAAAACTATTTAATGCAATATCCAGATTCTTCTATAACTTGGACACAGTAAGTTTTCTTGCAAGTCATTACACATACAGACTGTAACTTAGTACTGGAAGAAACTGGCACTTTCAACATTAAAACAAAGCTCTATGTTATACAAGTGAGTAATAATCAGGTATTTTCAACACCTTCCTGAAAGACACACTGAAATCTCATGCTCTGCATGCTGACAGAATGTAATTAAGAAAAACTGAAAAAAATAATTTCCTGTACTAAGAAAAACAAAACCCCAACAAAACCCCACACACAAATGTTCCCAAATAATTCCTGCAGACCTCAATATCTGCCCATTATAAAATGAAAAGTTCCCACTGCATGCTAAACCAAGTGATGGTCATGGGTAGCTTCCTTAAAAATATTTGGCAAAACGAAGACATGTAAGAGAGGGTAGATGTCCAAGTAGAAAAGCTGAGGGTTTTTTTACTCAGTAGTCTTCAATGACTTTTTAAGGGCCCTAAAACACTTGAGAAAACAAAAAAATACTAGTCAAGGAGAATAAGATGCTTGTTCTGCAGTTTGAAATTTCATGTGTTTAGAAACACACACACACACAATACCTCACCACCACTTTAATTGCATCTCTGCTCTTCAAGGGCATCAGTATCTTGCTGTAGCCTCTCTCAAAAGCAGCACCAGTGAAAAATCACAAGAAAGCAAGTGCTTTCTTGTGTATGGTGCAAAAGCCCTTTTTAGGAAGCTAGCTTATCTCATAAGGTGATGGTGAAGAGACTCTCGACTGTGATTCAAGAAAGTGAATACCTGCCACAACTCAGAAAGAGACAGCAAGAAGCTGCATCAGCTTCACATATGAACTTAGTCACTGCTCTTATCCAGCCGGGAAGACACCACAGAACAGCCCTGCCCTTAATAATGCTGCTGTTCACACAGCTGAGAAAAGACTGGTTAATTCAAGAACCTCACACTTTGTCTTTTAATGTGAAAGATGTCTCACCCCAAAAGTAATAATTTATTACTCCAGCAGGCATACAAGACTACAGGAGCTCCCTTCACCCAGACCCTAAAGTGCTTGCTTCACCTGTTTCACCTTTCCACACTTTCAGGTCCCAGTTATATAAATATTTCTCTGCACAGCACTGTTGGGTCACTACACATTTTGTTCTCTAAGGCAATACCAGAGTTTCAGAAACTACATCAGTCATTTCATCAGTGAATTCTGAAAGACAAGGGAAAAGGCACAACAGCCAACTACAAGCATTTTTCCTAATAATATAAAGCATTAAGTGTAAAGAATATTGCTGGAGGACACAATGAAGTTCTCATAAGGTTAGAGTAATTTTTGCTCATATTAAAAATTTCAATGAACCTGGTCACTTATGTCTTTTGTTCACTGTGAATGATACCCGAACAAGAGCATTCTTTCCAGCCTCACTTTAACACATAACTATTACTTTTTATTAAATGCTTTAGAAGTTGTGAGATTTCTTGAGAGCTTATTTACCTGATTAAAACAATAACAGGATAAAATTTAAACAAGAAAATGTAATTTTCTTGGGGTTAACAATCTCCCAGAAATGAATAGATGAGACACAACCCAATTTCATAAGCTATCCAAAGTCAAGGTCTCTTAACTTCTGCAGAAAGAAAATGCAATAGTAGTATCATTAAATTTACGTATTTTAGTGTTAAAAATAGTAGACATCTACACACATTATCTTGCTCTGTATTTAACTGTTACCATCCATACCTTGAATTTAGTAAGACTGATCAACTGCTGATACACAAGTATGGTGAAGAGAATCATACTACTTCCAAGTAAGCATGAGCCTCATCAGCTCCTACATGGAAAGCCAATGGAGGAAAAGACTCTGAAGTAGTTCATCTTGCATTGAAAAATGAAAGATAACATGATAGCTCACATGTTCCCAAATTCTGTTAGCTAAAATTTACTAGGAAAACAGAAAGACTTCAAAGAACATTTTCCTATAAACCCCTCAAAAAATCATCTTGTCTTATTATGCTACATTTTGGCAGGACTGAGACCTAAACTTCATTTAGTATTTTTGAAAGAAAACCCAAGAAGCTACCTTTATTCCCTTCCTCACTTGTCCAAAAGAGACTTTCTCTACCCACTCAAACATACACTATGCTATTTTTCTCAGTACCATGGAATATTCCTCACACTGAAGATCATAAACACACTTCTGTCCAGATCTGCAAAAGCTTTTCCCAGCCTTATCTTCATTTTCTTTTAAGAAGAGAATGTCATCACATTCAACTTTAACAACAGGGTTGTCCACCAGGGACTAGGATAAGGTCAAATTCATTTCCAGTTGTCATCAGAACCAGGATATGAATTAAGCCTCCAAAAATGTATTAGTTGAGGAACGCACATAGCCCTCTTAAAGGTTTCTCTTCCTCCCCCTCAGCTACAAGCATGGATTTATAAAAAGAGAAACCTCTACAGGCACAACAGGTTGGACATAATGAAGCACTGTTTCTATAGTCCTCTAGGTACCAACTTGAAAGGATGCTTCGCTAGTAGCAATGATTGGAGAACACTTCTCCAGAGACCAAAGAAAAAGTAATTCAATTTCAGTTGGTGAAAACTAGTATCTAGGAATGGCTGTTTTATAGACATTCTTTTTAGCTTCATATTACAGAAATGAATCAAGACTATATTAATTCAAGAAAAGTCTTATTACCAAAAAACAAAGAATTTCCTTGTGTTACTCACAATGAACTCCCCAAGCTTTCTGATTAGCACAAAAAGCAAAACATATAGCAAGCTATTTTAACACTGCTGGTTTTTTTTCCTTATTGCTGCATAAACAATGGAAAAGGGGAAAAATTTGAGTCATCTTATAAAATAGAGAGTTCAGGAATACAGATTTAGAAAAAATTCATACTGAAAAAAGATAGCAAGTAATAACCAAGACATGTAAAGTGATGCAGCATTTCAAGGGCCTATGGGTCCTTATTTCTTTTATATTATCATAATCCACCTTAAAAAAAGGTTGCTTTCCAATACAGGAAAAAAGCAAAGAATTTGAGACTAACCTAGAAGGTGAAAAAGCAGAAAAAAAATTTACTCAGCCTCATTCCACTGGGACAAGTCAATGGATGAAGCTCCAATGAAAAATAAAAAGATAAGAAAAAAATCCAAAATCCCATTCCCCCACCTTTCCCTAATCTAAGAGGAAATAGAGTACTGCTGTAGGAGTTGACTAAGAACAATACCACCACAGTTCTCACCTGAGGGGAAAAAAAATTAAAAGGAAAAAAAACTTCTCTTTGAGACAGACCAGATAGTTGAGCACTGCATATCTCATCCACATGAAGAGCCTACAGTTAAACAAGTCAAATTTTAAGCAAGGCCTAAGCAGTGAGATTGCTCCAAATACAGCATGAAGAGACAGCATCATGTATTTACTGTACAGTAAATCAGAGGCCAAGTCTTTGGTCCTTATCACAAACGTTTGGTTGTTGGTTTTTGGTTTCTTTTTTTTTCCTTCAGGTATCCAAATTAAATCTGTTCCCTACTTTTACACTATTTTGTACTTACTGCTGGTAGTAGAGACTGCATGTTCTGGTTGGAGTCAGCTATAGTGGCTAGGTAAACCAAGTTTGTATGCAGCATCTGCTGGTATCTATCAAAATAAACAAAGCAAAACAAATTTTAATTCATAAACACAGGAACGTCAGAATTCACTCTAATTCCACAAATATAAAGAAAGCTTTATGTAAAACAAGACTCAAGAGGCTTACAGTACCATTACTAGGAATCTTAAGCCTTTTCCCTCATATTCATCTATTATCCAACCTTTCCAATGTCTCCATCGTACTCGTTCTTTGCTGTACTGCTGTCTTGCCATGAAAAAAATCTAAAGCTGGGTGACGCTGTTCTCACTTATTTCATTTCCTGCCTTAAACTAAATCACCAGAAGACATACAGGGAGTTTGTGTCTGGTGTAATTTCCATCACAACCACTAGAGAAAGAGAGCTGTTTATTGTGTCTCCATAATCAAGATATCATAGATTTATGTAAACTGTGGCCACATTTCATCAGGACCCCAAGCTCTGGAAGTTTGCTGTGGAATATTTTTTTCTGCTAGAGAAGCATAGTCCAAATTCTCAGTATCTACCCCATAGTCACAAAAATAACCTTGAAAGCTGGAGCAGATTACAAGTACATAACTACAGGTTTGCAAACAAAAGTAGTCCCTTAAACCAAAAGTATCCATTCTTTATGATGCCCCTCATACTCCCAGACTACCAGTTCTTTTGGCAAGGGTCTAAGATGTCCTCTCTGTCCATATTTGTCTGATTATATGGGTGCCATCATCACCTCATGCCAGAAAAGAGCAATGGGAAATTAACACTCCTTAACAATTCACTCCTCCTATAGTTCTCACAGATCATTCTCCAAAGGCCCCACCAGACCAGCAAGTCCATGATGAATATTTTGGCAAGCCAAACTTCTAAGACAAGCCTGGTTGCTCTTGAGCAAGTGAAAAGCAGGTAGTTTTCAAACATGCCAACAGGAAGCAGAAAGGTCCATCTCCCTACACGATTTTGAGAACTTTTCAAACAAAACTACTTCTTTCCAACAAAGTCATTACAATACAGAGGAAAAAGTTCTTTGTTATACAGTCCTTATTTTTATAAGCATCATCATGACATGAACTTGCAGTAGGCAAGTCGCAACATTTCAGTGACATTAGTGATACTCATAAAGCAAAATAAAACCCACCCACTGACAAAAAATTTAAGTGTAGTATCTGTAGCAATACTTTTCTTCACAGCAGTTCTCCTGTAAGGTAAGCTAAACAAATCAAGAATTATGATCTAGATGGAAATTCACCCAGTTCACAGTAGATATGGATAAAGGTCTTACTGAGAGCATTCAGACGTCTTTCCCTTGTTCTGGTAGTCCATTATACACTGGATAAGATGGTTGTTTTCATCCAACATCTGAAACAATAAAAAAGTTTGGAGTAAATTTCATGTTCTTTGTGGAAAGAAACTGAAGATAAGTTTGAGTCTTGGGTAATGCTCCTCTTCTTAGTTTAAGAAAAAAAAAAAAAAAAGTTCCCATCCACAAAGTTCTACTTTACCAATTATTTACAGGGCACTGTTTTGCTCCCATTTCCCTCCTCTGATTAATCTTACAGGTTTTGGCTTAAGGACTTCATAGCATTACCATCAGCAGCTACATTTGTGAAGCATCCTGTTCAAACACCTATGCTCATTCTGCGCCAAGTTCTTAGAAAGTTTTAGAAGTTTTCCGCATTCCTTCATTTGACTGCTAACAAGAAATCCACTTAAAAGACTATGCCCCAAGTTTCCCTTCTCCTTCTAAAGCCTGCAACTACTTATAAATTTAATTTGAAAAGGCACTGAAATTGTTATTGATGAAAACTGAGCTGACCAGATTTTTTCAAAGCAAATGCACTGGAAAGTCGGGCGATATTCACATGAAGAATCTCTAACTAAGCTGCATTTTATAATTATTTGGTATAATGGAACATTATGGTTTAGGAATGGTATTGCCCAATTTAGTGTTCCCACAGAAACACTCCAAACCAGGCATCCCTCTCCCCTCTGGTGGGGTGGAGGGGAGAACAGGAGGTACAAAGGGTTAAGATCACCAGTTGAGATTGCAAAAATTAACTGGCAATAGCATTGAGGTGAGAAGAAACGGTAACAGCAAAAATATTAATAATGGAGGGTACAGGAGACAAATGATTCACATATAAGCGCTCACCACAATGAGCCCCCAACAATACCTGACCACACCACAGCACATGACCCCTTCCCCCACCCCAGAAAATGAGTGAGGTGCTACAGAATAACCTCCGGGTCCATGCCATGACCCCTCCCGGATACTGTAAGAATTAATCCCTGTCGTGGCAAGAACCACGACTAACAGGCACAATAAATCTATTATACTTCAGAAGTGTCCATGAAAATGAGTATCTATAAACTGATTTTCTAACCAAAAAAGAGTAAGTCTAAAAATCACGGGCAATGGGCCAATTTCACAACTTTCTACAACAAGTTCACGAAGTCAGAGCGTTCCAAGCTCTGTAAACAGGAAAAATAAGCACAACCTGGTCTCCTAGAGTGCACGAGCCCACAATCATCTTTCTAACTCATGGTCTGCACTCTGACTGGGCAAGGTTCAGCAGAACATGGCTAATCTGAGCCACCAGCCAAGTTATCCAAGTCAACTTAATGAAATGGAAAATTTACTGTCAAATGCAAAATTTTGCATCAATTTATTCCTTTTCTTTCTCTCTGGAAAGTTAGTTTAGATCCCTTTACCTAGTTGCTGAATTTCACAAAACTAGCAGAATCTTAAACATCCACAGATTCTTTCCCTCTTCCAAACATGGTTGAAACTAGACGTGACTAGACTCATCCTTCCACGAGGAAAGCACAACATCATTACACAACCTTTATTTCCCTAACAAATTCTACAGGGAGGGAAAAAAAAAAAGTAGTGACACTTTTTCCTACCTAATCCACCTCTACTATGAAAAGAGTATGGAGTCAGAAACCTTATGCAGTTCACTCAGGACTTCTATCCACATAAGAACGAGCCAGCCAGCCAAGTTTTCTTAAAACTCTAAACAGTAATTCACCAAAATGGACTAGAATGATCCCAGTGCAAGTATTTTGCCTGAAACTGCTGGATCTGGAAAGATGTATTAAGCACTAAACACAGACATAAGCGCAGTATTTTCAGCTTCTGTGTGAGCCTCTTTCTGAAGAGGATCACAAACCCACTGTTACACTGGCACACAACATATGTACTAACTTTAAGTTTCATAAGAAACACAGTGGCCATTTTCACCAGAAAAAAAACAGGAAAAAAGGAAATAATACCTTTGATACCAAAGTTTAATACCAAAAGAGCACTTGCAAAGGAAGCTGTGAATCAAGGCTCTCCTCAGAGTATCTCCCACAGTCCTGAGGGAAGCAGCAGATTCTTAAGGCTTAGCAGACAAGCAGACCTTGAGATTGCCCATTAGGTGGTTGCATTCTTCACTACAGCCATGTAAGTCAGACCTCTCAGGGAGGAAAGGACCAGAGAGGGGCAGGAATGCTAGGGCTAAGAGGAAAGGCAACAAGAAGGAATGTAACTGTATCCTAGGTGGGGCTGCAGACAGCTGTTTTATACAAGTTTAATTGAATGTTTGCTGATAGAAAATTGAAATAGCTATAAACATCTACCATCAAAAGAGAATTTAGTTTCTAGCTGGATGAAGATACCTTCCGGGCTTCTGACAACTCATGTATATTACAAAAATTCTTCCACTTTAACACTAGGATTTTGCCTACACACCACCATCAAACTAATAGTTTGACTACAAGAAAAACTTAATTGTCCGTATTCTCCATGCGCACCTCAGCATCCTGAAGTTTACTGACTACCTTTGTGCAGCTTTCTACCCAGGGGATATGTACTTTTCATCTACAATTCCCAAGCACTGACTTCTCCTACAGTACCCTGGAAGTTCCCATTACAACTCTAGGGTCTTCTTTGAGGTCCATATCGCTGCAACATCTACTTCGTAGAGGTTCTAATTCTTTACTAAATCATAGGCTAGTTCTATCTACCCAAAGGACTCCTCTGCATATGGAGCTAGTAGCAATCTGAAAGCTGTTTGATCCATGGCCATCCACACCAATGACGGTACGAGTCTTCAGTAAAGTTTCCAAACACCACATAGTGATCAGTGAACTTGAACTCCTTTGTTGCTGCTAATAAAAAACACTGTGGATTATTATAAAGCCTGTATGTGCTTTTCTTCGATCGCTTTAGCGAGTTAACTTGCTCCCTCCCACAAAAGCTTAGGTGGAGTCGTCCGGAGCCGCTGTCATTGGCTCCGACCGCAATATTCTCCTTCAATCACACCTAAGGTTTAGTGGGAGGCAGCCTTAACTACCAGGTCGACCAAGTTTGGGAACCGGAGCCGCCTCCTACCCCGCAGCACCCGGAGTCAGGCACAGGGTCTGGAATAACTCGGCTGGAGTCCCACTGTCAGGGCCCCCCCGCAGGAAGGACTTAGTCGACTCCTCCACTTTCAGGCCGAGTCTTCTCGGGTTAATTCAGGCCCGCGGGGGCGATCGGGGCAGCAGCCCAAGCGGAGGAAGAAAAATGAGGGCTGGAAAAGGCCAGGGACACCGCCCGCCTCCGCTCGGCGCCTTCCGCCGGCCCCGGACCCTCCAACAAGTGTCCAAGCACATAAAGAGGGGCAAGCGCCCCGCCGGGGCCGAGTCCCGGGCACAGCGAGTGCGGCCCGGCCGCCTCCCCTCCCCGCAGGGGCCTCGGCGCTCCGGGCCTGAGCCGCCGCCGCCGCCGCCCCCGTTCGCCGCGCGGCAGGAAGCGGCAGCTGCAGCCCCCGGGGCCTCCCGGGCCGGGCCAGGCCCTCCTCCGCGCGCCCTCCTCACCTTCTGGATGGCGGCCGGCGTGATCTCGCCCTTGCCCCGCTGCCTCGGGGCCGCGAACGCCACCGACATGTCTGGCGGGTGCCGGGAGACTCCGCGTCCACTCCCGCCCGTTCGCGCGCGCGCCCCACAGACCCAGCAGCGGCGGCGATCCGGGAAGAACGCGGCGCGCGGGGGGCGGGGGCGCACGCCCGGTGGGACGGCCCATCCCCATCCCGCCGAGGGATGGGGTTAAGGAGGACCGGCGGCTCTTCCCTGCTTTTCCTCCTGGGCAGAGGGCGCCTCGGTGAGACCGTGGCCGCCCCGCACGGCCTGACCAGAACAACTGGACCGAGAGCCGACTCTGAGCCGCTTCGAAAGTGATCCCCCCCACAGCCTTGTCACGCGCCTTTCTTGGCAACCCCCTCTCCCTCCGCCGCGTTGGTACGTTCCGGCTCGACGCGCCTCATAGCAGGGAAGTGGTACAGCCAGCTGGGGGGGGTGAGTGAAGTCCCGTGGCGTGCACCTTGCAGGGGACACGCTCGGGCGGCAGTGTCTATTCCCCCCTCTGCCCCGCGCCGCAGTTGGTTGCACCCAGGCAGTCCGCTCTGGCGGCAGCGCGGGGCGGGGCGGAGCGGGACGGGACGGGACGGGACGGGACGGGACGGGACGGGACGGGACGGGACGGGACGGGACGGGAGGCGCTGAAGGGAGGCACTGGGGTTTGGAGGGGACGTGGTTTGGAGTATGGAGCGTCTCCCGTGAGGAGAGACTGCAGGAGCTCACCCTGTTAGTTTAGAGAGGAGACGATTCATTAATGCGTGTAAACATTTCAAAGGAGGGTGCCAAGAGAGTGGTGCCCAGCGACAGGACAAGGGGCAATGGCTAAAGTAAGCCACAAGAAGTTTCCATTTCAACATGAGGAAGGACTTTTTTTGCATGGAGGGTGGTAGAGCACTGCAAGAGGGGCTTGGGGCAGCTTTCCCCGATGAGTTGGGCAGCTGCAGGTTTCCTGCCGTTAGAGTGAAACGGAGCAAGAAGAAACTCGGCTGCAACATTAAAGATGAACTGCAGACGCTGAAAGTGCTGAAACCAGTCTTGATTTGTTTCCATGCAGCCGCTGGAGGGAATCTCGGTGTCGCCGAAGAGCCTCGTGAACAAGTTTGCAAAGTCTAAGACGATGTTTGGAAGAATGAAGAGTTGCAGCGGGCTATTGGTACAGGGACATTCAAAGTCCCCAGCCGAAGCATTTTAAACCTGGCTTTTCCTGGGCACATCCGTTGCTCAGCCTGTGTGCATTCCAGTGCCACACTGCAGGCTGTGGGTGCACAATTCCTTGCCTTTAGCCGACTTTAGCCCTTGCAGCTGGCCGAGGTGTGTGTGTTCCGTGGCTGGCGGGACACTGGCTGGATAGGACACCAGTGAAAGGATACCACAGCCCACGCCACGAGACGGGAATCTCGATCCTTGCTTGGCTTGCTGTGTTTCTCAGCTGTTGCTGGCAGAAGGCCCTAGCTCTTCCCTCCAGCCCTAGCCGGCCCTTTTGGTTACAGCACACATTTGTCAGTGGCATCCATGGCCACCCCGTGGCTGTGCAGCTGCTTCCCAACTGGCATGCTCTCTCCTCAGATTGGGTCTAGGCTGGCTCCTGTCCCCAGCCCCATGATGATTACTCGTGCTGGCTCTGCTGTCCGAGGATGTGCTGTGACTGCCCATCACCCCCTGCCTCTTTCCCTTCACATGCAGTTTCCTGGCTGCTGGCTCCAAGCTGTTACTGCATTCCTACAGCATCCCATTCCCCAAGGGCTCACCACCTGGGCCTGGTGCTCTCTGTTACCAGAATGACACTTCTTCTGCCCCATCTTTTCAGATTATACAGGACCCCGAGCTGATGTGATGCTAATTTGGTTAGTTTGTCTCCAGGAAATATCTATAACTTAGTGCTTGCTCTGTAGGTTATGCTAAGATGGAGCAATGCCAGCGTATCCATTACTTTGTGTTTCTAATCATTTCACTCATCACTGTGGTCCACTTTTTGGACTATTTTGGTCCATTTTTTTTCTGTCTGCTACACACTTTATCCTCATCATCCTCATTGTAGTCCCTTCTATAATACTTGTAGAAAACCAAAAATAAAAAAGGAAGACTTGAAGAAACTGTATTTTTCTAAAGCTGATATGCTTCATGATGATCTTATTACATGGTCTTGGAGTGAACTCCAGAGAGTAACTGTTGTAGTACCTGTGTATTCAGATTGGTACTTTTCTTAATTACTACAAACAGCAGCAAAGAACCCTACAAATGAAGAATGCATGATGGCCATGGCCAAATTAGTGTGAAATCAGAACCAACCACCTCCTACCCAGTTAGTAACAGAATTATGAAGACTTTTTTTTTAGCATATACTTGTCCCTGGAGAACTGGTGAGGTGTCTGAAAGTGTCCCAAGGCTGCAGGCATAGCGAACATGTTCCCATGAAATACACTGAACACTGGAAATGCCACAAAATGTTTTTCTTTTTCCACAAGTGTTACTTCCAGATGTCATGCTCTGGTTATGTGACTCCTATGTATAAATTATTTTACACTGGGGTGTTTTGGTGATCGCAGTGTTTGAGATGATGTGGATTAGATGCCAGCCACATAAACAGTGCTCTTAGGATCTGAATGTTCTGTTTTGTTCTTCCACACTTTCAGGCTGGCATTTTGAGTTAAGAAAAAAAAATAAGCTTGTGGGATGCCACAGGTGAGGAACCTTAAAATGAAAGGAGTAGCTTCTCATTTTGTTTCCCCAAATGGTCCAAACTAAATATGTGATTTTTTAGTACATTCCTATTTCCATGCAAAATACAGGAGAACAGTGTTTGAAATTCAACTCTGTCAGTTTCTAGAGGAAAGATATAAAATCATTCATTCATAGTCCTTAAAACTATCTCCTTTGCCTCATTTTGTCTGAGGATTAAATCCATTTTTTTTGCCATTTGTGATGTTTTTTTCATTCATGTGTTTAACGTTTTGGACTTCTACATTCATAAATAGCAACTGAGCTAAAGAAACATTGAAAGAAGCCAGTCTGAAGCTCTATTTTTTTACCATGCAAAGGGAAATTTACATTCAAGATCAACATTTAAATAATGGCACAGATGCATACAAGCAGGGAAATAGATAGCTACAATGGAAATGTGCCACATGTCTCAGAACACATAACCACAACAGGGTGTCTCTTTTATGACTTCCTTAATGCACTGCGATATGCCTAGATATCAAAGGACATATGGTATATTTTCCCTTTAACTGCACATTTCTTTGCTCTTGTGAGTTACTCACAACCTTAACATTATTTAATTTTAATTTAGATGCATAAATCTCAGTCATCATCAAGAGTTTCAAATGCAAATATGTTTCAATGAGATCTTGCTTCCACCTCTATTCCAGCTTTTGTTGGTGTAGTCTTTCTTTTTTGTTGATGTGCATTTGAGTATATTTTTTTGGAGAGAGAAGAATTCAGACAGAGGAGGATCAGTCCTTTTCTGAAAGACTTTTTCCTATGTTTCTGTCTCATATTTTTTAGTAACAAGTTGTTTTCTGCCATTTGTATTATCTGAATTTCCACAGAGTCACAGACATTTCCATCTACAAGAAGGAAAATGCAGAATGCTGATTCATTAACATATTCAAATGTACATTTAAAATTTTAAAAATTTAAACGTAGTATTTATGAAGCTATATATGCAAGAAAGGGATAGCAAAGAATTTTATGGTAATACCACTTACTTAAAAACTTTCATGACTACAGGTCTTGGTATGAAAGTGAAGAATTCTTCCTATGAGCCAGGTGTTTCTTAGACATAGCTTTTAACATCTTTTTGATGAGAGCACCTAATTTTGTGTACTCACTCCAAGAGCAACTCACCCACTTTCTTTGCTATAGTAAGGATGCTAGCTCAGGATCTACTGCTAATAGATAGGACAGTAGTGAATTTGAGCCTCTTTTTCAGGGTAGACTACTTTTTCATCTTGAAATTTTAAAAAATAGGGGTTGTTTGTGCTGGTGTTTTCTAACATCAACAATACCATCAGATAACAGAGCAGATCCTAAGGAAGAAGGGTCTTTCAGTACATTAAAAAGGTAGATGGCAAAAGGAAAAAAATGCCATTTTTGGTGTAGTGTTTCTTTACCAACTGAACTTGATCTCATAACTTTTTGAAGATTTTCTACATGCCCATTCTCCATGTTAATTCATCTTGTGGCAAAATTAAGCTTGCACCTGAAGCAAATGGTTGATGTTCATATTCTGTTTATTTAAAACCCAGCAACTCATTATCAAAATACACAACAATATCAGAGTGGTTTTTAGGGTAAATGGTGCTTTTTGTTTCCCAAAAGGGATGATGGTAACAGAATAAATTTTTCTTTAATTTACTCTGTCAGCTTCTTGCCTCTTGTTTTTTGTTTGTTTTTTTGGGTTTGTTTTTATTTGTGTTTTATTTTTTTTTCTCAGAATTTTGTAATTTCTATTCTGCATTGGCTATTGTATAGAATAGTAATAAAAAGTGGCACCTGAAATGTAAGCCTGTATATTCTGGTATAAAATGAAGTATTCAAACAGCACTGCAAGCTACAAGGATATTGGTGCCTCTGCCACATTCCAGAAGGACAATAACAAACACAGAAAAAAATCACTGGGATGCTAAATTTTTATTCTACTACCTGTCATTTTAGTCTGAAAATATAAAT